AACCTAACTAAGTAGTTTTGTTGTCTGAACCTAACTAAGTAGTTTTGTTGTCTGAACCTCACTGCATTCGGTGACTAACAAACCTCATGGAGACTGTGTTGGATGTGATGTATCCTGCTGAGTTTCGAAATCTGAACTTGTTGAACTCTAGAAAGGTCTGTAGACTTGATAAACACTAGAAACTACTGGACTCCAGACTCAGTTTAGAACTGGGAAGTCTCCTTCGTCACTTAGCACTCGTTGCTTGTTTCTTATTGAATGAGCAACGTTCTTTTGTTGTCCAGCAACGAACAAAGACGGATCCCAAAAAAAACATCATGACCTCCTCCACGGACGTTTATCTACAGATGTATGAAATGTCTCTACCTTTACGAGGTTAATTCATCAGTACTGTCTCTGGCTTTAACAAACCCTGCAGTCTCTAGTGGGCGCTGTAGACCTTTACTGCAGATCATCATTTTAATTATAACTAATACGTTCTGCTTGATGCACTGAATTATACACATATTTCTACAGAGCACCACATTTTCAGATCCAATGAGACAAAACAGAACATAACAAGAGATTAGATTAAAAGAATAAATCATAAAATATCTGTCAGCAAATGTTCAGAGTATCGATCAGGCTTACCAGTAATGTGACAGCCATGAGGTGGAAATCCTCCTCTGATACTGGAACATAACTAACTAACTAACTAACTGGTGAATGAGAAGAGCGATCTGTTTCCTCTGTCTCTTCTTTAAATCAGTGATTTGCTGACAAACCAGCAGCAAAAACAAACGAGCGAATGGAGAGAAAAAGTGAGAGTGAAGGAAAGAAAGTGGAACTATGAGGTGAAGGAGAAGCAGCAGGAACAGACTTGTCCTGTTGTAGCGTTCTTACCCCGAGTCAAGGCGCTCAGGTACAGAGAGAGAGAGAGAGAGAGAGAATATGAGTCAGAGAGCGAATGAAAAGATGGATAGATAATAAAAAAGAGAGGAAGAGAGATGCTCCAGGCGTTGATTATTAACACACCGACAGCAGCTGCTTATGAATCATTCATGTTCAAATCATATAACACACGATAAACAGCAGCAGCACCGACAGCAGACATGCAGAGACGTTTAAGAACAAACATGAATGTGGAGGAAATATCAAAAAATGTATAAAAACACAGAGTGACTCAACTTCACACCTCCAACAGTGCTTTTCACTCCGCTTTTCAATCTCTGTCCTTTTTTAACCCCCCCACAGGTAGAGCAGTTGGCTGTTTGCCCCCCCCCCCCCTATTGTCCAATCACAGCTCAGTAACTACTGACAGCAGGTGCGTCATTGTTGTATTACTCACTATTATACCATTACTTAATAGTACTATTACTATTAAACTGTTTCTCTGCTGCTAAAGTTAGCATGTTGCTAAAGGACATGTGTTAGCACATCGGTAGCTCACTCTGCTACACATGAGAAGAGCCTGTTCGGGACTAAACATCCACGGTGTGTGGAAACCAGAACCGGTTGGTAATTTATCAGACTCTCAGCTAACGTTAGCAGAAGTACTCAGATCTACTTCAGTAAAAGTAACAGTACCACAGTGTAGAAATACTCTGTTACAAGTAGAAGTCCTGCATTTAAAATCTTACTTCAGTAAAAGTACAAAAAGACCAGCATCAAAATATATCTAAAGTGAAAGTGAATACATATATTATGTTATTGTAATATAAGTATTTGCATTTAAAATCATTTAAATGAGATAGTAGTGATGTTTAGAAGTGTGTTTGTGTGTGAAGTACTCGTACTTGTACATAGTCAGAGTCTTACTACAGTAGATGGACCTCTTTACCTTTCTGACGGGGAACATAAGTTATCTACTCTCTCTACGAAGACACGAGACTCCTTTCATTAAAACAGTCATTTCACCTTTGAGAACATACTGCGTGACTTTGGTGAATCTGAACTCACTCCTTAAACATCAGCTGAGGTCTGAAGCCTGCCAAGTGTAGAACTATGATCAGTTTTTATTTTGAAAAACTAGGTGCATACCTAGTTTCTGGGTAACATACAGTGACTGTTAGGGGGCTTTATTTTGAAAAATAAGTCTCATCCTGAACTCCCTGTTAACATATAGTGGGAGTTGGGGGCTTTTATTTTGAAAAATAATCCTTATCCTGAACTTCCTGCTAACATACAGTTTGAGTTGGGGGCTTTTATTTTGACAACAAAACAACCAAACAACCAAACCTCATCCTGATAAGATACAGTCACCTTCCAGGGCTTTCATTTTGAAAATATAATTCCATCCCTAGTTTCCTGTTAACACAGTAAGAGTTGTGGGCTTGATCTGTGGGTCTGATCTTCATCTATTTATATAAACTACTGTTCTGTAATATTAGAGCTGACTAGTAACTGTAGAACCTGGTTACTTTGCAGAATAACATTTTTCTCACAAAATATATGAACTAATAAATAAAGATTCGTTACTATAATTTAAATTACCCCAAACAAGTCTGCTCAACATCTGAAAATATAAATACAACACTGACCAGGTTGATTCTGCTGCATAACGAGTACTTTTACTTCATTTAGTATGTGTAATGATACAGTACTGTAGTGTGTACTACTCTCTTACTAGTATGATCAATAAACTGATGCAGGATTTGTCTTTGAGTCGGTCTCCACCGTGTAGAATAATAATGATCAGTACTCCGTATTTAAAAGAAGAAAAATAACTTTCTACATTGTAATTTATTGTACTTATTTAACTACCAACACAGCTGATCTCCCCCTTTGTTACGTAGTAATACTATTACTGTACTCAGGTACTCTGTGATGTTAAAGATACTTCAACACAAAGTTGTTTTAGAAATACCCAGGAAGTATTTCATTCATACCTCACATGTACTTGAAGTTATGCTGTAATTTGCAATATAACTTATGTCTAAATACTTCTTCAATATCTGGTTATTACAAAACAATATTATTTTCACATCGATAAAGAGTTGACGGCATTCTGGAGAATAAAACCCAAAATATTAACCTCCCAAAAAGCTGTCTGTCCGATCAAAGTTCTCTTTCAGGTGACCAAGTCTTCGTCTCCCCCGCTCTTCCTCACCTCTTCGTGTCTCCCTCCCGTCCCCGTCTCCTTCTTCTTCTCCTTCTTCTTCTTCTTCTTCTTCTCCTTCTTCTTCTTCTTCTTCTTCTTCTTCTTCTTCTTCTTCTTCTTCTTCTTCTTCTTCTTCTTCTCAGTCCTGGTCTCTCGTCTCTTCTTCCTTTTCTCTCATCTGTTGCTTTCTGTCGTCTTGTCTTCACTTCTGTCTTCTTCTTCTCCGCCACTTCCTTTTTTACTGCACCCACCCACTCTCTCATTACCACACACACACACACACACACACACACACACACACACACACACACACTTTCTATTCCCCTCATCCAAGGTTATGGGTCCCCTTTAGACTGCACGCCATCGGCTCCAACATCGTGTATCAGTGTATTTGTTTTTGTGTGTGTGTGTGTGTGTGTGTGTGTGTGTGTGTGTGTGTGTGTGT